TCTCTTCGTACACCTTCCTGTTTTACGGGTCGTTTTTGTTTTGCTGTTTGCGGACTCGCAGAGAATCACGGTTACAACTCGCTTTGCCTAACCTAACGTACGTATTCTTCTCCGTTCTCTGGCTATTTTCCTGACCACGAAGGTTTGTCGGACATTTTAGTACTCTTTGTTTAATTTTGGAGAATGGTACCAGTTTTGGTTTTGGCCCACTTTTATGAAGGGGGGCAGGGGACGGATGCGGAAGTAAAGCTTACATTCAATCGACGGCCCGTTATTTAAGATACTGCTCGCTCGTTTTTTTCACCTAGACTTACAGAAGGGAAACAAGGAACAATCCTCGAACCAGTTCAATACTATCGAAAGAAGCGAGGATATTTATCACATTCTTCATTAGATTGTTTTAAACCTCTCCAAAAAACTATCGAAAGTAACGAGAATATTTGTCTGATTCTGCATTAGATTGTTTTAAACTCATTGCTAATTGTATTCCTCGGGATTCCTAGTCGGTGACTTAACCAAGAACCCGCAATGTCTCGAATGCTCTTAGTCTTCCTAATTTCACGTATTTAACGAATTTTGCTAATGGCGCCGATTTCGCGGTTGTACACTTTCAGTAGAACCATCCTGGCATTCACCTGGATGACCGAGGGAAACCACGAAAATCTCGGTCAGGAAGGCCGGCAAGGAGATTCAAACCGGGCCTCCCGAATGTTAAGTCACGCCCTGAGCCACGTAGGTCGATAAACTCACAGGTAACTCGCACAACTTCGTGAAATCTCAAAATATGAAAAGAGGACATATTAACTACACTAAGTTTAACTAGTTCCCTTTCTTATTACTTCTTTGGTATCAAGAAGTGCTCAAATGGGTTCTCTCAATGACCAATACCTTGTTGCTAAGAGTTAGAGCGTAGGCTTCCGCGGCCGGAGTCAGTATTTACTAGGTTGCCCGGGTGACGCCGCGTCCATGGCAAAGGTACCCACGTTTCGGTCGCCATTCTGCGACCTTCCTCAGGGCGTAATGCATTGCGCCCTAGTACAGCCTAGTTGCTAAGTGTTTTCAGGCGAAGCAATGCGGGGCCGGGCAAGCAGAAGCGCGCAGAGCGTGCTGTGCGGACGGAAAAGACGGTGAGTTGGGTACAGGAGGAAGCGGGTCTCGAACCGTGAAAGAGGGAAGGTAATAACTTAATGATTGTTAATGATTCCGAGCGCGTCAATTACTAAGGTCATTAGTCCCGTAAGTGTAATGAGTGTTTTTGCTCGGGAGGTGGCGTTGTTATATTTCACTTGTTTCACCTACTCTTTTGAAGATATACCAGGAAGAAAACAGGAAATGAAATTTAACTCCGTACCTTCAAAGTGAATTCGTTCCAATCCGATATTCGATGCTTTTTTTCTTGCTTTCTAACAGTTCGCAATTTTCTTGCTTTCTACC